AGAGCTGTTTATTACTGTTTCAGTGAGGTGAAGTACATGAATATCCTTCACTCTTCACCCCTTTTTATGGGTATTCCCTTGGCATACTTCATCTCAAAATGGGTGAAAATTTTGTTGGATCCCTGTTGCTATTCAACATAGCACAATTCCCAAATGTTTCCTAACATCAAAATTAATTAGTGGAGAACGCTGCTCATTCAGTCCCTTGTTCTGGTTATTTTTGGAAACGTTTTCCTTCCTGTTTCATTCCCCTAATTATGGCTCTGCTTTGACATAAGGAGACATCTGTAAAATGGTGAGCAGCTAGAGTCAGCTGTGGGCTGTGTTGCAGTCACATAATGGAAAAAAAATGTATGAACACTGGAACTTGGAATAAAAAAATACACACGCCATGCAGCTGTATTGGAAAGATCATTGGGGGAGCTTAAATACTGAATACTTCAAGTCTTCCACACTTAGACTGGTTTCAAACTCCATCTGGTAGAGCATCCACGGGTGGAAACATTTTGCCAGGACTTTGTGCCGCTCTCAGAAGCCTCACCTCACCCTGGCACCTCCTCAACGTGCAAGAGATGGAGCAGCCCTTTACTGTCATGTTTATGTTTATCCTTTTCAGGACTTGCACATTGTATTATTTTTACTGATTATGGAGACTGTATTTAACTGAACTCCTGGTAGTAAATCTGTTGCCAAAAAAACGAATATTGTTTGCACCGAACAGACTCCAGCTGTTCAGGCTCGCTGTATGTCCTGCTTTGTCTCGTGGCCCCTTGGCTCAGAGCACTTTCCTCCCAGGAGCCGCACTGCAGGACCTTGGCATCTGCCTCCAGCACGTCTGTCAACACGTTTGTGAGTGGGGGAGCTTCAAAGCAAAAAAGTGCTGGACACAACCACTTAAACAGAAATACCACCTTTACAGAAAATGTACCATGGTGTTTCAGCAAGTACCAACTGTTGCTGGCAGTGTAAGTAATCGGTGTGGTGGAGCTTTGAAGTGGCAGTTGCTCAATCACTAGAGACCCCTCTCTGCTTTAATTTCCTCCCCAGCTCCAGAGGAGGGATGAATCAAGGGCCACGCTGCAGGCTTGGATTCTGCTTGATGGGTCTGCCCCAGTCAAAGGAGGTTGGTATTTCTGGTCACCTGCCCATTTTAGACTAGGCTTTGCCTTTACTCCACTCCCTGCTTTGGGTAAGGTGACAATCCTGGAAGGCCAGTGGTGCTGAGCTCGAAATACCAGGGTTGGTGGCAAGAGCTGACAAAATGGGCCATTTCCTAGTTGCTTGCCAAGCTGACTTGTGCAGGCTTTAGGTAAAATGTACTTTCAGCCTCCCTCCATGCCTGTGACAGCCCCCGCGCTGAGCCCAGGGGGTCACTGATCCATGAGAGGGGTAACACCCACGAACCACTTGGTGCTGCCTCAAATACCAGTATTGTGGCTGAAAGGAAAACAGCAGCTCCCAAACGTGGGAGGAACAGGAGAGGGGAAATATCCCGGGGGTGTCTGCTATTTGATTTAATTACGGTCTGCAATTGCGTAACCTGGACCCACACGCCAGGCCGCAGGAATGTGTTTTTGTGCGCTACTCCTTGCGCCGTTCCTGCTCCTCCGTGAGCAGCCACAGGCTGGTGATGTGCTTTGTCACAGCACCACTTGCTGGCAGCTCCCCTCACACAGACCAGCAGCAGACAGGAGGAGTGGTGAGAAATTACAGGTGCTGCAAGCACAGCAAAACACTTCCCTACGTGCAAACTCCAGCTGAAGCATCTACCCAAGTTGATGTACCCTGGGGATAATCTCTGGTCAAGTAGCTTCAGTGCTTCCTGCTCTCTGTTGCTGCAGAGGCAGCTTGCTGCTAGCATGGCCCTCTCTTTAATACTCCATCCTCAGAGGCCTCAAAAGGAAATGGATAGTGAAGACATTTCTGGAGTATAAATTTGACTGTCTAGGAACAATGCATTGCCAGGCTGGGAACAAACATTTCTGCCTTGTGTGTTATTAAGGTTTAGTACTTGTCTTAGGACCTGGCACCGGCCCCCCAAAAGGGATACCAGGAGTGTCTACACTTTTTCCCAGGCAGCTGGGAGTGCAGCAGTGCAATGGTATCATTAGCCGTGAGGAACACTGTGGTACTTTCCCCGATGCAGGTACACCTGAAGCTGAATTTGCCCACATCTGAGGAGCTTCTTGTCTGGGTCTTTGCTTCAGGTCCAGTTCTGGAACGTCATTTGCAGCAAGGAGCTTCTTTTGATGCTCCATTTTTCCACCACGGTTAGACAACGCTTATTTATGGCTTACCTATTACGGGACTAAATCAGTGAGGGAGGATGTTAGTCTGGTGATTTCTTCCTCACAATCTGGGTTCAAAAAATCTGGCTTTTAGCCAGGAGTAGATCGTTATAATTTTCTGTTATTAAAATACACCTCATGCCTACCTGCTGCATGCGGGGCATGGCTTCGGATTCAAGGCTGCAGCTGCTGTAATCCTTACTGTGAGAGTTTCTGACAGCTTCCTTCTCTGCTCAACAATATGGTCAAATTCAAAGCATCTGCTCCAATTCGTAGTCACTTTCAGGGATTAATCTGCAGTTCTGAGTTTGGCCAGACTTCAGTGTCAGTTTGCAGTCTCTGCACTGGCCAGTGCTGCTCCTTCTATCAACACCGAAGCTCCTTCCTCGTGTCCTGTGCACGACAAAGAGGATTTGGCACTGCTGCCAAGTTGCTGTGGCCTGTGATCACCAAGCAGAATAAGATGTTGGCCAGCGCCAAGTTTCAGGTGATTAGTTCAAGGGCTTTTAAGCTATTTCAGTTTTTGGGAAGTCCACCTTCACTCAGCTGAGTTGGAAGCACACTTGTTACCTCACAGTTAGAAAAACCAACTAGCACAGACATTTAATAAAGAAAACAAATACAGAAACTGTTACCTTTGAGGGTGGCTGGCTAGAGCAGAGTATCTCAGTAAACTGGATGAGCTGTTATTTTCTCTTCCATTGTCAGGTACCATACAAAGTCTCCCTGATGCTAGCTGGCTTTGTCAGCATGTATTTGCTTACATTTCTGAGTATCATTATTTCCTGGTCTTTTTCCTTTTAAGTATAAAGGTTATTTCAGTTATTTTCTTGTATTTACCTGCTAAAAATCAGAAATGCTTTGAAGCACCTGTGGTAACTGAAAAGTTTCTGCAATGGCTTTAAACTAATCTGATAAGAAAGAGTATGATTAACTTGTTTAACCACATCTTTTCAATGGCTATGAAGCTGGAGTCTGTACTTACAAACATCCTCTAAGAGCATTCCGGTGTTTCAGAAAGTGTGAAACTTCATTTACTCAAGTGTTTAACCTTGCTTCATGCATGAACACATCTGCATAGTCCTGTGCTCCTATTTACACTCAGCATTTTAACAGCATTATTTAATGTTTGAGCTGGGTGTTGGTCTGAATGTCCTACATACTTTCAATGGTCTAGGACTTCTGTATTGCAAAGGTTACACCAGGAGTTGAGTATCTTGCCACAGTCAGTTACACCTTCTTGCTCACCTTCTGAAGCCGTTGGTGCTGGCCTGTGCAACAAACCGGCTGCTGAAGTGCATGGCCCTGTGAAGCAGCACTTTTAGTAGTTCCCAAGCGTCATTCTAACAACTACCAGTGGGACTGGAGAAGTAATAAAGCCCCTGGAGAGATGGAAGAAGGTAAGCAGTACTAATAAAACTAACAAAACCACAAAATGTCTAATATCGCAGAGTTCAGGCTCTGGTTCTATGATTCTGATGCTGGAGATGCCTGACTAAAGCTAGAATTTTCTGCTTCACGCAGAACAAAGTGTCATCTTTCCAGTATCGTGCACCTCATATGGGCACTGTCAGGTGAGTGAAACCTTCGCGTGGGCTCTTCCTACATTTGGAGCTGGCTTTTACTAAAGATCCTTAAAGATCTGGCTGAGAACCTGCTAAGTGACATATGATGGGAAACAGAGTTTTAGCATCACATGGAACCACAGTAAACAAATCAGTGTCCCTACTGTCCCATCAATCACCAAACAGTCTAATTGTACAGCTACTCTAGTTTATGTAGTCTATTGTTGTGTAGCTAGAAAGGGGCATTTCTGGCTACTTGGCTACTTACCGTGCTCCTATTTCAAACTCGACAGCAGCCTGTCTACTTTTTATCCACCTGTGATAAACAGAAGCAACAATACTGGTTCTGTGTTGTGAAAACCAACCTGGAATATATAAAATAAAGAGAAAATGGATATAGCCAGAGAATCCAGTTTAATAGGCTGCTATACAGGAAGACTTTGTTCTATGATACATTTTGGAAATAGTTTTCAAATGTTCCTTACAGATACTGTATAAAATAGATACCAGATTTATTGATTATACATCAAGATTCTTTGATAATTTAACCTGCTATTAAGTAATCTATAAGATGTGTGATGGAAGGTGAGCAACACTTTACAGGACAATCTAAATCTAATAGATCTGTATCATCTCACCACCAGATTGAGCCACTGCTGTGCCATCATCAAGACTACAGAGCAACCACAAAGTCACACACGCTGGTACATCTGCATACAGTATAACAGAAGATGAGAATCCCATTCCTCAAACAGCTCCTCTTCCTTGCACAACTTCTGGGCTTTGGTCTGTACAGTAATACTGTGTGTGCTTGTTTGGTCCATGCAAAGCTATGAACAGTGTCTTGTTAAGAAAAAATAGAATTTGAAGAGGTATAGTTTCAGGTAATTTAGGATTAAAATGAAGTATCTCTCTGATCACAGAAAGTTTGTACCTGCTCTTTCTGTGCATCTATTTGAAGGGAGGGGGGAGGAAGTAGCTACTTAAGTGTTTTAAGCAACACAGCTCTTGGTGTCCAGACTCTATGCAGGATACTCGGTTAGCCAAAGAGGTTAGCAAGGATTGCAATTCTGTTACAGCATGTGTTTGGGAAAATACAGGCCGGGGGGGGGAGGGGGGGGAAAAAAAAAAAAAAAAAAAAAAAAAAAAAAAAAAAAAAAAAGAAGAGAGATCTGAAAATGGCACTTCTTTACCCACAGGCTTATCACACCATTAAGAACACTTTCACTCTGGAATATACGACATGGCAGCTGGGTTAAAACTGCAAACTGCATGTTTTCTATTGTCACAGGAATCAATAGCATACTTGAAAAAATAAAAAACAAACAATGCCGCTGTTTCGCTGAATTGCAAGCAGTGTGCACATATGCCAGTTTTACAGAGAGATTTCCCATTAAAACAAACTTCAACAAAAACAGACCACGGGAAACAAACTGCATATTTAGTAAAATACCATTGGCACCACTTGCCAAAATGTACGATGCTGTAGTTTTACAGTCCTGACAGAGGAGAGGGGGTGATCTTCACTCAAACATCTCATAATGGCGCGTTTGCCTTACACGGGGTATCATATCGATAAGCAACCTGCAGAGGAAAGCACGGGAGGGGTGATGCAGACACACAGGAAGGCCCTGGGACTGGGGTGTTCTATTTACTTACAAATACTGTTTTATTTTATAAATAACAAAGAACTCACATGTAGTAACTGCCTTATCTTGCTTTCTCCTGATCAGAATTAGTTCTGCCCCAGAATGAATTCTGCCCAAAAGGGAGCGTAAAACAAACTGTGTGGAGAGGGGCTCTCCTTCAGGAAGCTTGGACATACAGCTGCACTGAGAAACTGAAATGCGCAGCAGCCGTAGCTCTTGGCTGGAGAAGCCATGGAGGGATTAGTGGAAAAGGAACAGTTGTAGCACCCTGTTCCACACCAGACTGCTGCTGGAAGAAGGTACCCAACTGTAGAGGAGAATTGCAGTAGTTTCACAAACTGTAAAATCAGGTGGTTGCCAAAACAGAATTTAGTTTTATTCTTTGTTAGCCTTCATCGTGTCTTGGTGACACAATGGCTGAGTGCACTGTCGAGCAGACCAATGGCATCTATGTAGCATGAGTGTCACTGGCTGTACAAAATGTTTCTGACACCATTTGGTATGTTTAAATAAATATTTTTTTGTATGGATTTATCTCTACAGTTTTCCAGAACAGCTAGTTTTATAATGGAAATAGTGATTATAGTTATTTTTCCAAGAATGATATTCCCCATGAAAATGTTAATTTAATTTTCCAAGTTTAAAAAAAACAAACCAAACCACACACAGCTTCCAGATGATGGCTTACTGCAGCCTGGCCAAGGTCTGCTTCTCAACAGGCATGATTCCAGTTAACTAAGATGCTGCATCTGCCCCTTTCTCTCATGGTAAAAAGTTCAATAAAATGCAAAACTCTTCAATTCCATGCAGCTCAGGGAAATCATGGCAGCAACCAAGTGCATGAGTAGAGCTGCATTTGATTTTATTCTATTTCTGGTGTCAGGAATCAAGAAAGTATCTTAAAATTCAATAGAAACAACTGAAACATGACTGGCTAACCTCCAGTTCAGAAGTTGCTATAGGGTAGGGCTAGGATGGAAATCACTATCAAGGTCATTCTTTAAATGTGGGCACCTCAGCTTTAACCTATACCTTCTCTGGAAAAACACAGTACTTAGAAATGTTCCATCAAAGCAGCATGGAGTTATTTTTATCCAGCATTTGTGGTTATTTTTCAAATATTTCAAAGCCCGTACTTCCAAATTCAGGTATACAAAAGTCTTCTAAAAAATTATTCAGATTTCTTTTTAAGTCCTGACTTCTTCCCAACTGATGTGAGACACCACAAGCTTTTATCCCTTTCCACACACTCTGTTCCAGTATTGGCAGCTCATCTAATAAATACCAGTGACTGATTTGACTGGAGTTATATAAGCCTTTAAGAGCTATGGCTTACTGCATTAAACAGACAGCCCATGTGCTGTACACACTGCAATACCAGCTAGCAGGAGGTACTCACTTGATTCCATAGGCAGATATTGTAAGTCCAATTAAAACTCCTATACTGCCATCCAGAAACCAGACAGAAGAATTGTGTTTAAAAACTTCGGCGCTAAGAAGGATGGAAAATCCCATTATTCCACCTACAAGGGAGTTGAAACCTAGGAAGGGAAAAAAAAAACCAACAACACAAAAGGAAGACCCAAATCTTAAGGAATTTGCTTTAACCATCTCACCTAAAAAGAGATAACCTGTAGGGAGACAAGGTGTTACCATAGCAGTGCCCCCGGAGAGGAGCACAGACGTTATGCAGTGGCACCTGTGGGATACTGCTGTGCATGAAGGAGGAGGTAGTGCAATTTGTTCACACACAGTTAGCCAGAGGTCTTTGTCATGCTTCTTTTCAACAAATCTAATACAATAGTTGGTGTCTGACCAGTGTGTTTTAAGACTTCTGTCAGTTGTTGTGTCTGGTATAAATAACTTCACATTAATTTCCCTGTACTGTGTGTCTTGATTTGGTCCCTCCCAATTTTCGGTCTCTGCTCAGTTCCAAATCCAACTCTAGCTGCTGTTTAGTTCACAGGGCTTTCACCTCTTGATGCTAATTTTCCAAGCAGCAATATTCCTTCAAAATACAGGACCTGCACTTACCTCTCTTGTAATTTATTGTCAAGAACAAAGTATCTTTGCATGTGAAAGAGTGGCTGGCTGGCTGTGGCCCTGACTGGGACTGCTGCAGCCCAGTTACCTTCCACAGAACCTCTTCATAACACATGTACCATCGCTGCATGTGCAAATACCCCTGGTTAGAACTTCAAAGGCCATTTCATAGGGTACCCAAAGGCTCTCACTTTCTCTGAAAGGAGCAAACTGGAGTCCAGTAAACCCAAGGAGCTCATGAAAAGGAAAATGGTTTTGCACAGTAACATTTCGGACCTTCTCTTAAAGCTCTTTACCCCATTCCATATATTTATTTACATGTACTTGGCACTTAGAGCTACATACACTGCTCAATGCATTAGGAAAGACATACAGGATAATCCTAGGAAGATTTTCCATTTATGCCTTAGATACATCACAGGACCTTCCTATCTATTATTCATAATTTTAATGAACATCCTTTTAGATTCCTCTTTCTTTTTTAAATCCTTTCTCTCTGCCTCCAAGATTCTCCCTTCAAAATTCTCCCATTGGAGTTTTTGGAATAATTAATGCCATTTTTCCTTCAACTCATTTGATTGGTCTTTTTTTGAGTTTAAGTCATTCCTTGTGTTCATTTTTTCTCCCCAAATTCCTTTTTTGGATTATTTTTTTTCCCTCAATAACCCAAAAGACATCACTGTTGTTCTACACAAAAAAAAAAGTGTCACTGATAAGGCATTCATTTGGTAGATATATATATATTATTTAACAAATAAAAAATCAAACTTGAAACATTCTATATTGCTTGGTGAATCAACTCTAGTCAGCTGCTGCTTATAGAACTTAGCCAGCTTTTTCTAATCCCCCATGACTGCCAACAACCACATACCTGACACTTATTAATGAACATCTCCTTTGATCCAGAGCTCTCACATCCAGTGCCTTACCTAAACCATGTTAAGACTTTCTGGAAGACGGAGCTAAAATTTGACCTTTCCTAGGTATCCCTACAGCTGAAATACTTGTATAAACCATCGATATTTTGATTAAGATTCACCAGATCCCTGTCAGTAAGTACTTAAATGCAAAGCAAACCCTGTCAGGGAAGCAAGTCTGTGGCAGAATGAAGCATACAAAGGTTTCAGGCTTCCAGTCCTGCAAAGAAAAGGGAGCTGAGGGGTTTTTTGGACTGTGGCAGTGCATTCTAGCATTGCTATCACGGGCATTGCATTTAAATGCCTGATTATTGGATTAATTATACCAGTATAGTTAAATTAATATAGACACAATTACTCTGTCAACACTCTAGTCTAGAAGAATCCTGATCATTTTTTTTTTTAATTCCCAGGCAATATAACTTATACTGGTAATATATGTCAATGAAATATGTATTTTGTGTATGTGTGTGTACATATAAAGAATAGTAAATATAAATTAATTAGTTATCAATTTAAACCAGTGTTACTTCCCCTGCTCCTGCCAAAGTCAGAATCCATTGGCATGAAAATGCAAAAGCAGGGACAATACATTTTGTCATTATTGGCTGATGGTTCCAAATGATCTAAAAGCTACTTACAAAGGAAATTGTTTTCTTTTCCTGACTGTCATTCAGTCAAACCTTTCTTTGCCAGTGGGGCAGGAAATCATGTAAGGGCTGCAGGTATTAATCCAAACACCACGTGCATAAGGCTAGCACAGGAGAAAACAGGTGGCTGAATCTGGGAATGAAACAGGTATCTAAAACCTACAGGAAAATTGACAGAAAGGCTGACATCACCTAACTGTCACATATCTGCATTTGTCCTCTGAGATGTTACAAAATTCAAGATAGGAAATGGCTGTTTTATTATTCAAAAGACCGTGGGCTTTTGCTATAAACAAATTGTACAAACAATGTTTTGCCTCGCGATGATTCATACATTTAGGCTTTAAAGAGTTATTGTTGTCAAGACCTACTCTAAAACAAAATTATTCTTTAAAATAATTGCTAATAGAGGTTGACATGTATGAGAGAGAATTTGCTGTTTTGAAAATAAACTTATTTTTCAGGAAGAAAAATGGATGCTCTTGTTACTCAAAACAGTTTATTGGTCTATAGCCAGTGAATGCAGGAGGTAAATTAGCAGGAAACAGAAAACACTAAAAAAAGATATGCAAGGGGGCCTAAATCTGTCTCAGCTGCTGAATCACACTGTCTCCTCCTGACTGTTAATAAATCAAGTATATATGTAAATATATCCTGTGAAAGAAGATATTTAACCACACATGGTAAGATCAGCCTCCTACATTTTCTAAAGTAGTTCTGAAGGAGAGAAAAGAGAGATAATTGTATACTTTATAGGTAATTGTATACTTTATTCCCTAATTTTTTTAATCAAAGAACAAGCAATCTCCAGCTCAGAAGCAATATAATTAGCACAAGGATGTAATTATGGGGAAAGAGATTTCTGTGCCATACAGGAGACCAATTCAGAGTTAGTTATTCAAGAATTTTTCAGCTAATATTTTGTCTGAAAGAAACTGTTGTTTCAAAAGCAAGCTACATTTTTTTGAAGGGAGGGTTAATCCTTTGCCTGCCTAGACACAGTTCTGAAACGGTCAACATGGCCCAGTTACACTCTGACAGCGAAGGAAATCAGACTCACTGGTCCGTAGTTCCCAGGTCCCTTTCCAGAATCCTTTCTGCAGGTTAATTTTTTTTTTTTTTTTCCAAAATGGCTAGAGTGGCAGAGCTAATAGTAAATAAGATCAATGAACAGCATGGTCTGTTGGGAGAGAATCAAAAATGCAAGGAGGCAGTAGCTTAGTTGTAACCCCCGCACTGCTGTTTTGATTCATTTTTTGCTTATTTTGTATTTAAAATATAAATACTCATGAAGTATTTATTTAAGTGGGATGATATAAAATATAAATACTCATAACGTGTTATCACACATCACCCAAAAAAAATTTTGAGTATGTTTAAGTTACTTTAAAAAAGCAATTGTACGTATCCCTAGAGTAAGGTGAAAATTCAATTTCCTTCAAGTGAAATCTTTAGCTGATTAAAATAATTTATGTACCACAAGCCATGAATCATTAACACCCTACCGTGTATGTTTACAGAGTATTTCAAACTGTCCTGTGCTTGCAGATAAAAACTGGTAGAGATTTGTAGGGCACTGTGAAGTCTCTGCCATTGCTTTGGCCTCACTTGTTTGCAGAGTAGATCCCCGTGGCTTTCTGGAGATTCACAAGCTTGAGTCTTGTCAGGTAGAGGCGCATCTCTTTAAACATACCTTTAAACTCAGCAACAGCCAGGTGCTACACACCTGAGCCAGCAGAGCAATGGCAGTGAGGTCTTCTGAGGATACAGAGGGGGAGATTCGCCTTGTGCTGAGCTCCAGCAGGGCCAGAGGACGGCAGTAAGCAGTAGGCTTTGTTTTACACATGCGATGCTCCCCCAGCATTACTGAGTGGCAGGAAATGCACTACAGTGGCAAATTACATCTACAGGGAGTACGTATGAGTGATGGAAGCGATTCCTGCTCAAGGCAGGGAGGCATTTTCTGCAACGTGCTTGCTGTAGAGATGAAATTGTTTACCAGGCATAGGCAGTGAGGACAGATGTGACTTAACCAACACTATATAAATTGGTGCCATATCCCCACTCTGTAGTAACCTCTGACTGACACCTAATTTATTATATGCGCCACCCTAACTCTCTATTATTGCTTACTATCCACACACACATTAACTCTTCCACCAGACACACCCATTTCAGCTGAGGTATCTATAAAAGAGGCTAATGGTACCACAGACTGTTCTAGTGTTCGGGGGTTTTCTTCCATTTTCCAGTGACCCTCTTATTTCAATACTCTTTCACAGTTGCCCTCATGTGGGGTCACTCATATCCTCTGTCTATGTCTACAACATTCCCTGAAAAAGTATAAAAGCATGAGCATCAACTTCACACTTACCATCGGTTATCAGTGCTCTGCTTGTAAGGACCTTTCCCAGCATAAATTTGATTACTGCCAAGACAGTGCAAAGTATTCCACTTAAAACGGAGACACTATACAGAAAGTCATCCTGAAAGAAAAGATGTCAGACATTAGTATATCTTCTGGTCATGTCCCATATACTAAATGACAAACAGTACTAGTTACTGTGCAATTATTTGTGCCACTAAAGTATACAACCTGAGAAAAAATTTCCAGAGTTACGACGTTCACAACAGCTGGTGCTTATTTTGCTTATACTGTTGTAATTGCCTTTGCAAGTATAATTAATAACAGTTCAAAGCCACAAATTTTGAATTGACCCAAACTCCTCAGAATCAGGTTTTAATCCTGCAGGGCTGGCTGCAGACTGCCTAGCAATCCAGTGTCTAATGCAATCAGTAATGAAGTCCCTGCATGCAGGATAAAGGCTTGAGAGCAGAATTTCACTTACCAGACCTTTGTTGATTTTTGGTATGAGAAATAACCATTTAATATTGTTTCTGATTGTTGCTTGCTTTGGTTTTGTCTGGTTTCCTTCTTCTACAGTAAAGTCTGGTTCAAGCTACGTCCTAAGAGTTTTAATACTGATGTGAGTCAGGTTTAGCTCTTTCTCAGAAAATAAACTTTCCATGGACTTGCATTTCACAGCTACAAAAATATCCACATTGTTTAACTGGAATGTGTAACACAGGCTCCATAGGCTCCCTCAACAAAAAGCTATGTGTCTATGTAGGGCAAATACGAGTAACTAATTACTATTTAACACACATTCTCTAAAAGGTCATCTGGAGGCACCTACCACTTTCTGCTGACTATTCTGTGTTTGGTTGGGGTGGGAGGAAACACTCCTGGGCACTGAAACTCCGGCACTGCATCAAAGTGCCTACAGGGAGGCTCCTTCTCCCTGCTGAGGTACATCAGCCCAGGGGCTGTGCAGAAAAACCCAAGCGAGCTCTTAGCATGCTTGCCTGCCATGTAACCAAAGAGTTTTGAAACAGATTAATTTATTACTCTTAATAGCAGCTTTCATTTCAGCTGTTGCAACATCAGTACAAATGAAGGAAATAGCAAGTTGGGGTGGGGTGGGGGGTGGTGTTTGGAGTTTTTTTAATCTGCAGGTCTAAGTGGGCCAGTGCCACTGGGACCCTGTTACTGATTAAAACACTCTGGCAATAGTCCCCGTTGATGGTAAACACTGTCATGATGATTCATCATCAGCTCCATCCATTTTCATTATTTTAGCAGCAATTCAAAACCCAAAGAAATCAAAAAATGGTTTTGAAAGCTGCTTAGGAAGATACTAGGAATTAGATTACTGGTATAATGTACTCACATCCCTAAATAAATCATCCAATATATTTTTATACTATTTTTTATGTCATATAATTTTCCAAGGTCTACTTCAGCCATGAGCTCATTCTCTCTAGTCCTGGTACAATACTGAATATTAAGACAAATGGCACTGAGGGAAAGAGAGTAAAATAGACACGTTGAGGTCACAGAACTCAAGCACTGGGGTAGGATAATAAGAATTTGTAAAATTATTCTAACAAAGCGACTGGAAAATACCTAGGCAATTTTGGAGTGCTAGGAAAGGACTAAGGAAGGACTGGGAATATTTAATTGCTGTCAGGCTAGCAAGGAAAATTGTAAACTTTCAGAAGATCTGAAATAACAAAAAGGGTCCAAAAGTCTGGATAAGCTTTGCAAAAAACACTCAAAATTTGAGTTCCTTGACAGTTCATGCCTCTAAATTTTGTGCATCTTTCCCTAAAATGTATATTTAGCATGTCCAAAAACTTGATTTTGATAGCCTGACAAATTCTGATTGGTCTTGAGATTTTAATCTAACCCCATCTAATAATTTATTAGATAGTTTACCTAATATTTAATATACAGCACCTGTATAAGACTTCAGAATAATCTAAAGCAGAATGATATGCTCCATCAACATAGTTATCTCTATCCCAACCTGCCAATTAGCAGCCCAAGTGCCATTCCCACACTATCATAGAAAACATGAGCTTCCCATAGATGTGCGACTTTGTCTCTTAACTTTAATCATTTGTAACAGTAAGCGTGGCAAACCAACCTGCTTGTGATGTCCTCAAGAGCATGGAGGCCCCTCACTCACTAAATGGTGAGCAAGATGCGGATGAAAAGAGCAATGCAAAAGGATGCACCAACCTGACGTGCTCGCAGCTGTGCACAGGCCCTGGCTTTTCACAAGCAACATGTGTCAGGTGAGTGCTCAGTAGAATAATCAGCAGTTCCACAGTGTTTCTCTTGCATCTCACTTACCAATGTTCAATGACTACACGAGTTCTCTTCTTTCATCATCACCCCACAGACCCTGCAAAAATGTGCTGATGGCTCCCAGGCATCCCTAACTCCTGTCTTCGTCTTCATCCTCAGCAAAACACAAGCTTTGCCATTAACACAGGACTGAATGGTGTAGACTACGGGGAGGTGACAGCATAAATTACCTTGCTATCAAAAGTTATGTTACTGTCAGCCTTGGGCTGACAAAATGCAGTTTTCCTGCACCTATGAAATTCTTGGGGATGGACCTGCAAACAATTACAAATTCACATAGTCTGGAAAAAAACTATGAATATCAATCCAAAATATTTTGAAAATTATTGATGTAGAGGTTCAAAAGCCCAATTATTAATTCAGAATCTTGAAAATGCCATGCTTTATTCCTTGTGCAAGGTTTTATCCTCTGCGTGGCACATTATTTTGAGCTGGTCGGTTTTCTTCTTGTCATGGCATGTACCATAGATTTTTGGGGTGAATTCAGGTTTTTTTCCTGGATGTGTCACTAAACTCATGGTATGTGGAAATGCACCTTGCCATTTCTTTCAGCTGTACAGCTACGATCAAAATTAGTCTAGCTGCTTTACTAGAATACAAGAACGACTTACATGTGATACAGGTTTCTGAATCAACTCAAAGTGAATTAATGAACAGACTTATAGAGAATTTAGGAACTAGAAAAATCCTTATAAGTTTAGTGCTTTTTTTATTGAATAACAGAAGACAAGCTCATTTTGTTGGTAACACTAATCTAATAACCCCTGATGACGCAGACCTGACAAATCAAAGCTCCTTTGTTATCACACTGAACACAGAAAGGGAAGAAATTAAAAAACCCTGCTCTTAATGTAAACGTCTCGGTAGTTTCGTGCTTTAGACTGTGCCAAACAGCTTTTCAGAAGATGATATTCCCTTTTTCAGCTCTAAACCCCTAAAACTAAATCATATCCCAAATCACTCTCCAGTTGTGTGCAGCTTTTCGCAACAGCCACAGGGAGGCGGCAGATACCGCAGCAACTCAGCGCACGGTGCATGAATACAAAACCGAAGAGGAAAACAACAAAAAAACCCAACTATTAAACTGCCTTTCCTCAGTACTTTGCTACGCTTTCTGGGTGTCCAGGCACCCAAGAGTTTGAAGAAGAAGAGTGAGGCTACCTGCCACTAACGAGAAGGTTTTACAGGAGTTAAGAGATCAAGCCCACATACGTGCCAAAGCCACAACAGGAGAGAAACAGCCCAAAACACTGCCTTGGCACTACTTCACTACAAGGATCAGCAGCTGGGACCAGCTGAGGAGAGCAGCTGGCTGCACTGGTACACTACAGGTCAGGACATGGTGGAAAGAAGCGCCTGCTAAGAGGGGTTCAACAAATTCCCTGAGGGAGGGCTGCTGTGGGCCAAGCACCTGGGCTGGAGCTGGGGCTGCGGGGGCAGCTGGCCGACGGACACACCATGGACACACACTTTGCTGCAGTGCTACGGGCTCCGAAGAGTTAAACACGTCATACTGTGGCTGTGAAATGATTCCCATTAAACTAACTCATCCTTTGGAGAAATGAAGAAAAGAGAAGCCATAATGGAGATCTAAATTAATAAAATAAGCCTGGCCATCTGGCACCATCTCCCTCCGGATCTTCCCGCAGCCCTGCCCTCTCGGTACCTCTTGCCTTCCCATCTGACAGTCATTAAGAGCACGAAGCACATCTAACCAGACTCACTGTACACATCCCTGGTGTTATTTTAATTAAGCAAGCAGCAAATTGTGACAGATGATAAAAATTTAAATCCTGATCATTTCCATATGATAAAGGCTTCTCAGCATGGTAAATAAAAGCTCTTTCCGTTTCCATTTCTTTTCATCATATTCCCTCATTACTATTACACTGTACATGAGACCATAATTAAAGGATGCATATATCTTATTAGATGGCTTCATGTATAAAACAGCACTGTACATAAAGCAAGGTGCCCATCCTGGACTGCCACCTCATTACACAGCACTCTAATAGGTATTATGTTCCTATTTAAAATTTATTTTATGCAAGATTTTATGCTGTGACAGTTTCCCAAAAGAAAGCTTTCCTAGGATGCTCTTTGTTTGGCCCTAGAAAAGGAATAATAGAGGTCAGCAGGAAGCTTTCCTACATTTTATCCAAATGCACCGTCCCCACCAGCACAGCTGAAAAGATGGGTCTTCAAAATGTGACGAGTTCTGTCCCCACTTTCAAGGATTTCACCAAAAGCAGTAGTAAACTTATGTCTTAAGGAAAATTTGTTGTTGATGATGATGTGACTTTGATCTCTTTCTGAATCAACTGTAGAGCTAAAAAAAAAAAAAAAGCCACAGGGGATGCTTCAGAGCTTGGCTTATTAGGTGGAGATGTTGGCTGATTTGCGATCCTAATCTTTTCCTAGAATGCATCTCACTAATTCTGACCCTAAAACTTTGCCCTGATTTCATATATTACTTACACCAACTCCCCTCCACCCCCTCTCCTTTACAGTCCTGTCACTTCCACTTCTGGGATGTAAACATGTTCTCACTTCCCCTGAAGTGCACAGCGTTGATTCATCAGTATGGGAGGAAGAAGGCATGTTCAGTGTTCCTCCCCAGTGGTCACAACACATACAATATTATGACTAAAATCAACATACGATCCTCCTCTCCAGCCCTCCTTGATAGCTCATGCCAGCATGACCTCAAAACAAGCTTCTCCCGCCCTACAGCAGCTGCAGGTTTCTTTCCACTCTTCTGCCCTCTTTTTA